CAATTCTTTGTTGCCTCTTTTTCAGGGCCCGGAAGGACCACAGGGTCCCCTAGGCCTCCAAGGGCAAACCGGACCCAAGGTACTTTAGAGTTGTTTTTGTATGTTTTTTTTTACCTGTAGTTACAATTTCAGAAACGTTAAATGGGAAAACATTTAATTTCGGCTCTGCTTTTGTGTCATTTTTCTGTTATCATTTAGTCAATCCAACACGAACAAATAAGGAAGCTGTGTCCTATGTACATAAAATAAAAACATTTTAGTGTACAGAAAAAACACCTTAAGTATAATTATTTTGCAGTTCGCCTTTCGCCGTTAACTTCATTCTTAACCTGTACAATTACAAATGCAGTAGAAAATGTCGAGACCAACATTATGTTTTCCAGAACAAGTAGTTTAACATCCAACATGGGGTAACAGGACAGTTATCTCCCCGGCTGTCTATCGATACCGATATTTTTCTTTTTTTTTTTTTTTTTTTTTTTCATCAAGGGCGCCAAAGGCGAAAGAGGAGATTTTGGAACGAAGGGAACAACCGGAGAATTGGTGAGAGTTACATGACGGGTTAATTTTATAACTTGTTTTTGTTAAACGCCGACAGCAAGCGTTTGACTTTTTGCTATCGGTGAGCACCTAAAAGATCCAGTCGAGAAGGCCGTACCTTGTTCAGTAGTTCAACACAAGCTTTTATAAGTTCTTGCTCTATCTTATTGTTTGCTTGAATGCAACAACTTTCTATCACTACGCTAGCAAACGGACTTATCATTCCGTTGTAGGTTTAATAGTCTCATTCATCACCAGCAGAAGATTTCTTTGAGGCAGGAAATTGATACTTATTAAAAGGTCAAGAGTAACATAACCTACCAAAATTCAGTTATTAATGAATTATTCATTGTACCTAATGTATTACTAGTTACACTCATGGACAAACAAGCGAACTATTGTTTGACGTCCGGTTCTGCGTTTCAAACATGTAGGGTTCAGCTGGGGCCGCCGGTGAAACTGGTGACATGGGCCGTCCAGGAGCTGTAGTGAGTATATCATCCAACAGATAAACCTTAGACTACGATTAGGGCCTAATTTCTGATACTTTTTGTGTAGAGTGAGCAAGAACGTAAATGAGTGCGAAACGCATTTAATACTAGGGAATGCGTTGATTTTTGCGCGCTTGCGTGGTCTACCAATCGACTAATCCTGAGAAGAATAAAGAACTACTCGTGCTCGAACCAATCCTTTATGCTATATGATTTCTTTCGTGTACTAATGGGTTGTGACTGAATTGTTGCTTTGTTTATCTTTCAGGGAATGAGAGGTCCCCCAGGATTGACCGGGCGCCAAGGTGCACCTGGAAGAGTGGTAAGGACAAATGAAAAAAAATGAGACATAACAACACGCTACCTTGCCCTCATAATGCCGTGAATCCCATTTCCGAGGTCCGTATCCCCCTTCTCTAAAACCCTGTATCCGCCCAAGCTATTACTCGTTTCGTATTATTTTGCGGGTTTCACAAATTTCAGGTATATAATCAATCACTTTACTTAAACACTTTGAGGAATTATGTTTAAAAGGGTCAATAATAGCTCCTTCCCCGCTCCTCCCGCTCATTCTTTTTTTTTTTTAGGTAAATTTAGGTAAAACATGTAAATAAAAAATGTGTAATTTGTTTACCCACGGAGCACCAAAGAATTCGCGAGAACTCGTTCAGAAATGCCCGTGCATTCCAGGATCGAATTGGAATGTTGGTTTTTGAGGAGAGGGGAAAACCGGA